CTTAGGTTCTATATATAGAAACCCTTCCCTTCACTTTGAAATCATCCCAACTACAAGTTCATTTGTAACTTCTAAGGCTTGTAGTTTTCTCTTCTCTCTCTATTGTAATATTTCTTAGTGAAATATATTTGGTAGTGTCCGAGGAAGTAGGCATAATTGGCTGAACCTCGTTAAATTCTTGGTGTTCTTTCTTTCTTGTTTTGCTTTTGGTTTAAAATTTGCTAGACGTTTCCGCAACACCTATGTCATTCCACCAAGACTCTACATCCACTCACCTATCATAAGCTATGTATCGTGCCTTTGAGCTTTTCATGCTCCGTTTCTTTGGTTTCACTTAAAGCTGCAATATTTGCTCTCACTTTAGACCGCACAATCACTCAACATGCAACATGCGCACTTCACCATCCCTCAAGCCTCAAGATGCTCTTCACATTCACCACAACGAATTCACTGACACAGCAAATGCAAATGACTCATGGAAGAAACAACCATAATGGCCACTTGCCAAGAAATAGTATGCATAACCATGCCTCCATAGTCCATCCCATCATGACGAGAGCCCTGAAAATGCATGCTTCTCAAGTGCCACCCCATAAATAATGGCTCCATTGGCCAAACATTTTTCTAAACATTCGTGTCTCTTACTCTTACATATTCTCTTGTCCTCCACTCTGTCACCTGAATGCACCTTCACGCCTTTTTATATTCAAAACTAAAAAATGAGACATGACCAAAACGAACAGAATAATAATACTAAGAATCACACAGGCATTTAAATTAGGCGCAATAAATAGTAAAAGTCATGAGTACTATTGAGTCATGACCACCGAATAATCCAAAGCTCTACAAAACGACACAAGCTGAATTGTAAATAGAATACCAAAATGTTAAAAAAAGAAAGCAATGCGGCTTAATTTATGAAAGTGTTTTTTGATGTGTGGTAGCAAGTGAAAAAACCAAAGCAGAGATTTTCTCTTCAATCAGCAGTGGTCCAAGTCATGTCGTTCTCGAATATCCAATGGCACACCTCAATTTTGCCAGGGCCAAACCCCAACGCGGAGAACGCCCCATGTTGAGGGCCCCACGCTGACGTGTCAAGGTGACAGATGGCAACCCCATGGTTGATCTTCTCCTTGGAGTCCACGTCCAGAATATCAGCTTCGTACACTCTCACTAGGGGCACACTGTGGCAATAATACAATAAGTAAGGGTACAAACTCTGATGACATGAAACCGCTTTGATCGCTTTTCCACCGTTCACTGCGTAGACTCTCCCAATCATCACACTCGATCCTGACCCGTTCACATTCTCCGTCCATCTCAAAGCCACGTTGGGACCCACCACAGATACCGCAAAATCTATCATCTGCTCCGCGGACGAAACGCACCGTTTCGTCTCGCCCTTGCTCGGTGCCCTCTCGCACTCTTTCAAAGCGTTCACCATCACGCGCTCGGTGGAAGACGCTTCCCGCGCGTGAAACACCTCCTTCATTTCCTCAATCCTCGACGACGAGAACGGTAATTTCGACGCAATAGAGAGGGGCAAAAACGTCCTTGCAGGCATTTTATCTTTAATATCAGGCATTACCATAACCTTCCCTTCCTTCATGGTTGATTCTCTGAAGAATTTACCCGGTTCGATCCATTTATTTACGGTTTTGCCACTGGATGCGCTGAAATTGCGATACTCCGAAAACGACGCGCCGTTTTTGTTGTAAAACTTAAACGCGCGGCCTAGACCGTATGATTTGAATCCGAACGAGGCTTTCCCCGACGCGCCCTTTCCGTACTCCGCGAAACTGTCGTTTCCGACGTTGAACGACATGCCGTAGTTTGCGAACGTGGCGGCGCCGGAGTTCGACTTCGCGGCGTAGCTTTGGAATGAGTCGTCGCCGACGTTGGCGCGGTTGCGGTAGCTGAGGAAATTATCCGCGGCGGATCCGGAGGATCCGGCGCCGTAGCTTTTGAAAACGTGCCGCGGATTGTTGCCGTTGAGGCTGTAGAATTTGAAGGTGTCGTTGCTCGCTCCGGCGCTGAAGTCGCCGTAGCTGTTGAACTCCGATTGGAGAATGTTCGCGTCGCCGGCGTAATTCGCGAACTCGCTGGTTCCGCCGCGAACGCGTTTTCCGTAGCTAGTGAAAGACTGCGAGCCGGAGTTCGTTTCGTTGCCGTAGCTCGAGAACGAGAGTTTGTGATTGCTGGCGCCGGAGTCGTAGGTTGTGAAACCTAGATTCGGAACGTTGACCGTTTTGTCGTAGCTGTTGAAGTCGCTGGAGGTTTCCGCCGCGCCGGAGCCGTAGCTGGAGAAGTTCGTGTTGGCGACGTTGCCGTTGTCGGCGTAGTTCTTGAACTGGCCGCTGTGGCGCGTTGCGGCGGCGCTGTATTTTCTAAACGCGTCGTTGTTGGCGTTTAGGCCGTTGGAGTAGTTTTTGAACGAGTCGACTCCGCCGACTCGGGACGAGCCGTAGTTGGCGAAGCGTTTGTTGTTGTAAACGGCGAAGTTGGCGTCGTCGCTTTTGCGTCGGGGCGTGTTTGGTGGTGTGTCGTCGAAGGAACAGAGTAAGTTGGGTGAGGAACAGAGAGAGTGGTGAAGCTTGGGAGTGAAGGGTTTGGGTTTTCGGTTTAGGAGGTTGTTGAGCGTGGCGTAGTGTTGTGGAGTGAGAGGTGAAGCTTTGGAGAGAAGGAATTGAGGGATGGGAAGCTCGTTTGAAACGCGAGTTTTCCAGTAGCGAATGAGAGAGGCTTTGGGGGTGAACGGGTTGATGTTGTTCTGTTTGGAATAGTGGCGCGTTTGGGGCAGAGGCATTCCTTCTGTTGCTCGAGAAACCTGCGTGCCAAACAATGCAATGCAGTTAGATTGATTAATTGGTCTGCAATGTATATGTGCAATGAGATAGAATTGTGTTGGTTCTTACATGGAAAGATGAGAGCGACAAGAAGAAGCAGAAGAAGAAGAAGAAGTGAGTGTTCATTTTGAAGTGGTGCGTGCGCAGTGGTGAGAAACTAGACAGTGATGTTGATATATAAGAAGAAAAGGAGGGGAAATTTGATCAATTGGGGCCAGAGGACAATAAATTTGTGGTCTCCCCAGACACAGTTTGCTTTTCTCTGCGGCAACATGGTATCAATGACTAGGTACCATGCTTTTCTTTTCTTTCCTTTTTCTTGTTTTTTTTTTCTTTTCCTCCTTTGGAAATATGATTCTTCACGCTTACATTGATTAGTAGCTGAGAAGTAGTTTATCTCTTAATTTACATATACATCTCTTCATGATAAAAATACAATGGTCCAATATCAAAATACTCAATACTTTAATTATGATAACTTTAATAATGTTAGCTAATTTAAGATCCAAATATTAACATTAAAAGAAGAATTTAGATCATTTGTATTATTTAGTTTCAACTGAAAACTTGTTTCCGACCAATTAAAAATCCTACATTTTTTAAGAGTTAGAAAATAGAAATATAAACTATTTACACTCTATTGAGAAGCCTTTCTAAACCCTAAACATAATATATCTATGTTGTCTTTATATATTTATGTATAATGCAGCTTTAAGAGTAAAATGATTTTTTATTTGCTTGTCTTTTCTTCCATTGCTCTTGAGACAGTTAAATATGGCAAGGTCGTGCGTGCCCTCGTTTTGAATGATTTATTTGTATTATTATGTACCTTCGAGATTAGTTAGTGGAGCCCTAATGGTTGTAACAATGTGAACCATGTTGAGTTTATGTTATAATAATGATCAAGTTGATGATGAGAGGGGGATCAAGAGTTTTGAACATTATTCAATGGGATTAGGTATGGTTAAATAATGGATAAACTAGGTAATCCAATTGTTGAACTCAGAACTCGGTTTGTAGATGCTTCCTTTTTGACCTTACCTATCCTTTAATCGATTATTGGGCCCCTCTTGTACTAAATGCCTCTAACTGCGTTTCATCGTTTTAAGTTGATGGATTTATTGTTTTAGTAAAAGCTGTGCTGATCACAGGCACAGAGAATGAGTTAGCGCATGTTTAGTAAGGATTAATTTTGAGAAAACAATTGTTTTTTAAATCTTGCGAAAATTTTAATGAAAAAATATTTGTTTATACAAAATTAATTATATTAAGTGTGCGATGAATAAAAATAACTTATAACTAGATTGAAAGTTATAAGCTAATAGTTGAAAAATTATAAATTTATAAGTTAATTGAGTTAGGTTTTAGAGACTTGTCTCTAGCTGGACAAGTCTCAAAGCTCGAGAGTTTATAAAGGTATTTATAGGTTATTTATCAACAAAATTTTTATATTGGTAAGAATTGAATTTATATCGTTTTAAAATATAAGTTTGTCTCTTACCAATTGAACCAACCTTTGTTAACTTATAAGTTATAAATTGTAAGTTCTTAAAATAAATTTACCTACTAAACAAATTTATTTTAGTCAAAATATTTTATAAACAAATTAAAAAGAAATTTTAAATTTCTCAAATATTTTGATAAATATAGTCTAATTACACAACTAACAATTGCTTATAACACTTTACTCACATTATTTAAAATGTAACATTATGTAATTTATGAGCTAATAAGTTCTTGACTTTTTTTTTTTTAATCTCTAATATCATATCATAAGTCTTTGTTTTATGTTCTTTTATATTGTTTAACACTTGTTAAATAGTTCGACAGATAGATTTATCAAAAAAAATTAATTAAATGAGTAAACTAATTAGCTTTAAACTTCTAAGTTAGCTTATATCGGCTAATTTTTCCAAATGCATTCTAATTGATAGGGTATTTTACATAGCAACTATATTATTTAACTAATTTAGGGCATCTGTAATGAAGCAATCAATATGAATTGTTTTCTTAAGATAATAAAAAATAAAACTCAAAGGAATTGCTTTATTGGACATGTCCTAATTATATATTCTATATATTTTATATTCATGAATTATTGTAATATGTATAATGTATTTTATAATATTCTCGTGATGTCTTGTCATCTTTTCTCTACTTTAATTATTTTATCTTATCAAAAAATTTATTACATTAAGTTATAAAATAAATTAATATATGCAAAGTGGTAATCATTTGAAAAAATATATATAATTATTAAATTAAAGTTGTGGACAAATAATATTAAGCATGTTAGTTCTTTATTTTATTTTGCATTCATTAACTAATTTTATCAAATATTTTTAATTTAATCAGTTGATTTTTCTACTTTCAACATTTAACTAACTTTTCAATCTAGTTAATTTTTGGCTAAAAACCTATTTTGGTCCCTTATAATCTTTTTTTGTTTCAATTTAGTCCCTCGTTAATTTTTTATCTCAATTTGGTCCCAAACTAATTAATTGGTTTCAATTTAGTCCCAAATTAATTAATTAGTTTCAATGTGGGACTTCCGTCCAAATTATTTAAACAGAGTTAACTTTTGGCCACGTGGATGCCACGTAGATGCATACGTGGTATCCACGTGGATGAGAATTTTTTTTGAAAACACCTGGACCCGGAACGGCCCGTTCTGGATTCAGAACGGCCCGTTCCAAAACTGTGAATAAAAAATTCTTTATTTAATTGTGTTTTTGATATTATAGTTATGCAATTTTGATCTCTAAGGTTTTAATTGAGTAATTTCAGTCCTTAAAAGATTACAGTTGTGTAATTTTAGTCTCACAATTTTTAATTGAAGAATTTTAATCTCTCAAATATCATAATTGTGCAATTTTAGTCTTTCTCATTAAAAATTTAATAATTTTAAAATTTTAATTTATATATATATATA